CTGGAGGATATTATGCTGAGTGAAATATCTCCACCACAAAAGGACAAATACTGCATAATGCCACTGTTAAAAAACAGGACTGACATGCGGGTTGGAGGGAAACTAAGAAAAGAAGGGATAAATAATGTATACTTCATTGAAACAGATGAGACAAAGAACTGTTTAAAAAGAATATATGATTACACATTATTTGCGTGATTACAGTCCAGAATAATAGGTGCAGAGTAAAGTAGATAGGGTAGGGAGTGGGGGAGGAGGAAATTGTGTAACAATGAAAGAATTTTTTAAAGAGAAAAGCTAACTGGACTGGGGGTAGGGAGGAAAATGTCCAACAGTGTATGAATATAAATCCAAGTTTTCTGTAAACTTTCATTTTAAATCTCAATTTTTTAAAAAGTATAAAATTTTTTAAAATAACCAAAAAAATTTTATGCCTCACATCTCCTAGTCTCCTTATCTTGTGTATTTATTTTAAAAAATTATTCTACTGTTGTCTTACGGAGCTCTGGTGGCCTACTGGCAAGAAGCTGCACTGCAATCCTGAAGGCATGGTGTTCGAGGCCACCAGCTGCTCTGTAGGAAGATGGACAGCCTCCTTCTGTGCAATTAACTGCCTCTGAAAACCCACCAGAGGGTCAGATATGGATTGGTTCCAACTCGACGGTACACAACAACAACAACTATTAATAGTGTTACAAGGAAGAGTAATATGTTCAATTGTGTTCAATCTGCCATCTTTAAATAAAAATTCCAATGAATTTTTAAAGAAGTTTGGAATTTATATTTTTACATACTTAAGCTCAGTTGCACAATCATGGTAATTCGATTAAATATTTACACCCTTTTCTAATCCGCTGGAAAATTAACAACTTGCTCTATTACAAATGGTGGGTGAAGAACACAGGGTCTAAGAATTTATCGTATAAGGAAAGAATGAGAATAGAATAGAATAGAATAGAATAGAATAGAATAGAATAGAATAGAATAGAATAGAATAGAATAGAATAGAATAGAATAGAATAGAATCTACTTAAACTGAAATTATTTTTTATATAACTTTCTTTCTTGAAAATATCATCATCTGTAACTTAGACCTATAAATACAAAACCTAACAAGGAATAGTTGTTCTTTTAAGAGCAAAGTTTAATAAAGAATTAAACAGCAGATGCTAATGAAACCATGGAGAGACCAGAACTCTCATACATTGTTGATGGGGCAGTATAAAGATGCAGCCACATGGAAAGCAGTTTAGTGCTTCCTTTAAAAGTTGGAAATAGAAATACCATTGGATCCAGCAATCCTACTACTAAGCATATGCTCTAAAGAAATAAGAACTGTGGCACAACCAGATATATAGATATAGATAGCGAGATAGAGATATAGAGATATATATCCATGTTCATTGCAGCATTATTTATGATAACAAAGAGTTAGAAACAACCTCAGGGCCCATCAGTGGACGAATGGATAAAGAAACTATGCTATAGATAAAATAGACTACTATGTAAAACTAAAAAATAGCAACCAATTTGAGAAACATTATATAACATGGATAAAATCCAGAGGACTTTATACCAAGTGAAGTCAGTCAGTCACTAAAGGACAAATATTGTATGTTTTTATTGTCTAGTACCATTGAGTTGGAACCAACAACTTTACAGTGGGTTTTCAGAGGCAGTAAATCTCACAGGAGGAAGTTGCCATCTTTCTGCCACATAGCAGCTGGTGAATTTGAACTGCATGCCTTTGGGTTCACAGCACAAATCCTTACCACTAAGCTCCCTATTTATGATTTTGTATTGTATAAGTCCACTATTTTATTATATTAATATTGTATGAGTCCACTATTATAAAAATCCTAAGGCAAGGTTTACATACAGATAGACCTTTTTTGGATAGAAAGAAGAAGAAAAGTTAAAAAAGTAATTGAAAATTATTAAGTAGACAATAGACTCATATAAAGATGTATGGACAGCACAATGCCACTAAAGGAAAGGAAGACACAGAAAGGTACACAGGAAATACAGACAACAAAACTAAGCACTATTATGTATACAATCCTGCAGTAATAGAATAATAACTGTTGATCTACAAGCAGATATATAGGCAGACAGGCAAGATGAGCAGATAGAGACAGGTGAAAAGAACTACCTACCCCTACAACCATGCATAGGTTGGGGAGATGATATTTCTGAACTCATATTGGTAAATACACTAAATGTATCTATATATACAGATAGTACAACCAACAGTGGGCAATGCTATGTAAACTTTTTAATTGTAGCAAAACACCCTGAGAGAATGAACTGCTGGTTACAGAATCTTGGGACCATAATCTTTGTAGCCTTCAGAGTCTATTGGCATAAATAACATAGTCCACAATTTTCTATAATTCTACTTCGACTTAGCAACTAAGATCTTAAAAGGTTAGACTGACAGGGGGACTGAGGAGAAACTAAGAAAAGAAGGGATAAATAATGTACATGGCATTGAAACAGACATAAGAGAGAACTGTATAGGAGGAATATATGATTAGGTATTATTGGTATGGCAAGACTGCAGAGTAGGAGCTGCATAGTAAAGTGGTCTGAGTGGTTTGGGGGGACTGTATAACAGTGAAAGAACTTTTTTTTCAAAGAAAAATGTGAACTGCGGGGCAGGAAGGAAACTGTGCAACAATGAAGGAAAGGAAATCCAAGATCTTAGAATAAAATGTACAATAAAAACTCAATTGAACAATAAATATCTCAATTATAAAATAATTTAATTTTAAAAAAAGCTTGTGTGAAACTACCTAAAGTGCAACTTCTGGTCTCTCCTTGTGCAGTACAACAAGAGAAAGGAAGAGCAAAAATGTATAGAAATTGTTAGTCCAAAGGCCACATTAACCTCAATTTCCATGCTGTTGACTCTAGAAGAATTAGATAGTGCTTGGCTGCCACCACTTGACCACCCTAAAAGGAATTTCAAGAAAAGATGCTGGTAGACTGGGGAAAAGTATGAACCAAAAAACAAAATAAAAAATTAAAAAAAAAAAAGATCACGTGTACTGCTCAATAAAAACTGTTGGAACTCCCAAGGTTTTTATTGTTTGTCACGCTTTGAACCTGAAATGAGACTCACTCCAATAGCTCAACTTTCAGCCAAATAATGCACAGTTTATGATGTGATCCGTAACATCACTCCTTAGAATAACCAATCACCCAAACAACTATGAGATATCATCTTACCCCAGTAAGAACAGCAAAATATAACAGAACAGCAAGCAATAAATGCTGGCGAGGATGTGGAGAAACTGGAACTC